GCAGACATGTTGACAAAAGTAGTGACAAAGGTCAAATTGAAGTTGTGCTCATCTTCAGTTGGCCTGCTAGAATTATAGATTCATAAATGTTATTGTTTGACCAAGGTGTGAAGACTGATTGAAATCACTCTTCAATTGGGAAATTGTTGGTCAAAATAAAAGAGTGATAAAGAGAGTATGAAGGAGAAATAAGAAAATAAATAGTAAAAGGAAATAAGAATGGTTATGAGAAATTTAAGTAAATGTTGAATCATAGTCATTCACTTTTCTTGTTTTATTGGCTATAAAAGCCTTGTATATTTCATTTTGTAATATCATCAAATCACAATCAATAAATACTTTTAGTGTAATTGAATTGTGAAATTTCATGTGAGGAGAAGAAAATGAATTTATAGATTTCATTTTCATTAAGTTTGCGTGCTTCCGTGTTAATTTGTTCTTCCACAAATCTGACACTATGAGGAAATTTTTTGTAGTTTCCTAACATGGTGACCTCCAAGGTTATCACTCTTTTCTATGATATTATTTCGTTTTCGACCATAAACGTGTGTGAACTTAAGAAAATTGTCTTGCTTATTTTTCGAGTGAGAAACCTTATTTATAGTATAAGCCTTACTCCCATAAACAGTCATATTTAATAGGCTTTATGCCATAATAAACGTAACCGGTTATTTAATCATTTGTAACGTATTTCATGTGTTTGAAACGGTTTATGACCATTGACATTTCTATAACCAAGCCGGTCATGATAGCTCTGATGGCCTTTTGATACTCGACATCAATAACTCAATGTATCCGACTTGTATTCTCGGCTTTAAAAATTTTAGGGTGTACATGTATAATCTACTACACCTCTTAATTCTATCTGTTTATAATATAAATGTTAAATTTATTTGTTCATTTATTATTTGTTTTTTTTAAATGTATAACGAGAGAGTGGAAAAGGGGCGACTGTTTGGCCCCCATTTTTCTCTATTTTTATTTTTATTTTTATTTAATTAGGAAATTTTAAGATTAGGATTGATCAAAATGGGCCTTGGGCCCTCTTTCTATTGACACCCCCTACTATTTTATTGCACTCCTTTTCTATGTTTTACTATTTATATTTAATTGTTTAATTAGTTTAATTATTTTTTTATTTGTTTAATTTATTTAATTTGATTAGTGTAAATTTAGTTATTGATTTTGTTAAATTTAACTACTTTATTTGAGTTTATTTAGTGAATTCATGTAACTTAGTTATTTTCCTTTAACCACTATTTAAAAATACTAAAAAAATATGATATATTAAAAATACAAAAAAATTAATAAAAAAACTCAAAAGTATTGTACTCATTTTATTTTATTAGGAAAAATACAAAAACATGTAATTCATTTAATCAAAAATAATAAAAAAATAAAACTTTTTTTTCATAAACTAAAACCAACTTTAACTATCAAACTAATTTTGAAATCTTGTCGAGCACATTAATAAAAAATACGTAGGCACATGATTTTGAAATCTTGTCGAGCACATTAATAAAAAATTAAACTTTTCCCCTTTGGTAAATATTTTTTAATGGATATAAACAAATTGCAAACATTCCCTAGAAAACACTTAACCCTAGTCTATTAGGAGGTTCCCGTTGAGTACAACAAATTTGAGGGGTGTTAACCGACTCCCGAACCCGATTTAATTGTGATGACCATTTCTTCCTTAAAGAGGGTTTTATGGACGTTTCCTTTAAAAAATAAAACTTCGGTGGCGAATTTGTAGTTTATTTCAAGCGTTAGTACGCTCGGTTATTTTTTGCGCCGCGACAAAGCTTATTTAAAATCATCACATAAGGGACTCAGAATCTCCTCAAACAAGGTCCAACCCAAGGTCTCGCCCAAGGGATTATACCAAAGTCTGACCCGGGAGACTTAAAAGTTTTTCTCGAGGGTCTCGACCAAATTCTTTCTCGAGAGACTTAATACCTCGCTTGACAGACTTAGAGTCTTGTCAGATAGGTTCAACATACAATCTCTCCTGAATGACTTAAAGTTTCATCGAGAAGACTCATCTAAACTCCACATTGAGGGACTTAAAATCTCATCTGACAAGGTCTAGCCCAAGGTACATCATTCTTGCCCAAGAGACTTAAGTTTAAAATCTTTCTTGAGGGTTTCGATTGAAGTCTTGCCCGAGAGACTTAAGGCCTCTCTTAAGGGGCTTAGAGCCTCGTCAGACAAGCTTTTGTGAGACCGACTCAACGTAGAGTCTTTCCTAAAGGACTTAAAGTCCCATCAAACACACTCATCTACATGTCTCGCTAGAGGGACTCAACTTAAAGTCTCGTCAGAGGGACTCAACTTTAAATCTCGCCAGAGGGACTCAACTTAAACTCTCACCAAAGGGACTAATATCAAAGTTTTTTTAGAGGAACTCAACATAAAGTCTAGTTAGAGAAACTCCACTTAATGTCTCGCCAGAGGGACTGAACTTAAAGTCTCATCTGAGGGACTAAACTTAAAGTCTTGCCTGAGAGACTCGATTTAAAGTCTCACTTGAAAGACTCAACTTAAAGTCTTGCTTGGGAGAATCAACTTAAAATCTCTCCTGAGAGATTCAACTTAGAAGCTCCTCTAATGAAAGATCAATTAATCACTTCGCTCTTTACCAAGCCCTTGTGCTTCAGGAAATGGTTAGTGATATATTTTTACTAGGATCCAACAGAGAACAACTTCCGTAAAAATGAGGAAGCCCAACACATGGGCGAGGGGAAAAGTGTCCGACAAGCCACGTGCTGCCCGAAATGGTCCATGAAATTGCTCCGATCTTTGGAGCCGCCCGCTCAGGTGGACTTAGTCCAACCATATTCTTTTCCATTTGTTTAGTAGACGTAAGAGATGATATGTCTTTGACAATATATTAGAAAATCACTTATTTACAATTTATTAAGCATTTATTTATAATTTGAAAAAACAAAAGAAGACAAAAAAAGTTATTAAGCTGAAATATGAAAGTAAATTAAAGGACTTTGATATTTTAATTAATTCAATGATGTTCTTTTATGATTAATGATTTTTTATAAAAAAGAGTAATAACTTTTTCTTTTTTATTTAGAAATCTTGATATCTGATCTTACAACCGATTATAAATAAAAAAGAACAACTATTTATTTAAATTAAATTATAAAATTCTTTTTTTTACTCTCATTTCATTCCAACTATTGTTCCAATAATTATTTTTTACGGTTTCACATCCTTTTCAAACTCAGTGTGTTAACATTTTTGTGTTTTAGGTAATAATCTGTGTCGCTTAACTAAAATTGTGCAACATAACTAATAGATGTTTGAACATAACTAATAGATGTTTGAACATAACTAACATTGTGAAACATTATTAGGTTAAGGGATTGTCTAAATGAAATGTCTAACCACTTCATACAAATAATTAATAAGTGCAACATGATTAATAACCAATGTTTCATTAACTGTTGTTATCCTTTACTTTTTAAAGTTAGGGTGGAATACTTCTATTTAATTTTTTAAAAATATTTCTGATAGTTCTTTTCTATTTCAAAATTAAAAATTAATGAAGTATTTAAATTTTAATAGAAAAAGAATTTCCACTAAAGATGAATAGTTTGAAAATTACTCGAATTTGATTCTTGCTGAAAACAATGTTTAATAAGTGAAAAATCACAAAATCAAATAGTTAATTTATTATATAAATTAGAATTGATTGGCTAAATTTATAAAAAATAATTTAAAAAATAAAAAGATACTTTTCACATCAGTTATATAAGAGACATTTAAATAAATAAAAAGAATGAATTTAGTTCAGTAAAATAAAATTATGTTTTACACAATATGTACCATGTATTCCCCAAATATAAATATATATATATATATATATATATATATATATATATATATATATATATATATATATATATATATATATATATATATATATATATATATATATATATATATATATATATATATATATATATATATATATATATATATATATATATATATATATATATATATATATATATATATATATATATATATATATATATATATATATATATATATATATATATATATATATATATATATATATATATATATATATAAAAGCTTAATGGAAATTCACTCACAGTATAAACGATGTTATTAAGTACAGACTTATTTAAAAATAATTTTTGTTATTTTTCACAAATTTGATAAAGTATGTTTTTTTAGTTAAATAGATTAAGAATTTATTTAAATCAAATTATAAAAATTTTATATTACTTTTTATTTAACTACATCTAAGGTTCCAATAATTCATTTTTAGTTTTACTCCCTTTTCAACCTAATTTAGGTAACAATATTGTGTTTTAGGTAATAATAGCTAAAATTGTGTAACATAACTAATAGATGTTTTTTTTACACCATAACTAATAGATGTTTGATAATAAATAATATTGTATAAAGCTGAAGCTTGCGCTATCCCTTGAAAATTTGGGGATAATATATCACAAATGATGTATACATTTAAAATAAATTTTTAAAATCATATATTAATCAAAGTTTGTAAGGTATTATTAAGGATGATAATGAGCAGGGTTTAGGCAGTATGCTATAATATCTGTCTCTATACTTGCGATTTTAAAAATCCTAGTATCCAAGTCTAAATCCGCGTGGAAACCAATGTTCATACCGGTGCCCATATCTTATGGGTATCTCAATACCCATACATGTTTAGCCGTGTTTGTAGTAAATTTCAATAAAGTAATTATAAAATATCATATAATTTTAAATATTTTTAACAATATTAAAAAAAATTATGGATGTTATTGTTGAATTTAGAAATAAATAAAAGCTTTTATTAAAATGTGTAATAGTTTAATAGCGACATATTTTATAAAAATTGATAATTGTGCACTTATATAAAATAATACAAATGATATTATATAAATATGTAGTGCGAGTATGTGGTGGGGAGGGTAGTAAGGTACTTATGCCCGCACCCATACCCGCTTATTTTAATGGATAACTATTTGTGCTCGTATCCGTACCTATTTTACGGGTTTTTATCCTATCTGTTGAGGACATTTTTTGCTGCTACCCATAGGATATGGGCCAAATTGTCATCCTTAGGTATTGCGTCTATGACTTCTCTCACTTATAAATTCTTCAACATTCTCTTTTTCAATCAATGTGGGAATCATTACTCACATGTGACATACCAAAATCTTACTACTCAAACATCAAGTCATATATTCTTTTCTTTATTTAACTTGGATTCTTTAAGGTTTTGGGTTAATATTATTTCCTTGAGCCCTCCACTTCTTCACGTTGAACTAGGGTTTGAGCGATCGCTCCTTCGGCAAGAACTTATCGATCATCCCTTGTCACCTTCATCTACTTCAACGCCATCCAAATTGGGTTAACAACTCTTTGTGTTATTTATCATTCTGTAGTTTAGTTTCAGTATCATTTACAATGTGTCTGTCAACAGATGTTGTAAAATCTGTATTGACATTGCTCGAATATTGGGACATCAGTATTAACATCTCTTGCAAGTGCCAGAAATTTCACTTTGGAGATATCAATAACTCTCCAATTTCTCATGTTTGTTGAAAAACGGTTTGGTTGCAAACGGTTTGTGAAAAAGTCAGCAAGTTGATTTTCACTATCAAAATACTCAAACACAACATCCCCACGCATGATTGCGAAGGTAATTCCCCATGCATGTGTTCCTTTCTTGAGTTACTTTATTTGGAGTTCGGGAAAGTAATTCAACTCCTCATAAGACTCATTTCAAACTCTCCTTGCATAAGCTTAGAGAACTATCTGACAAGTTGCATGTTAATAGAACCAAATATGATATAATGTCAAATGTGTTATACATGATATTTAATGAAGCTAAACATGATTATGTACACATAAGTGTTTATAAAATAAAATGCATGAAAATATAGTATGATGAGGTCATTATTAGTATATAAATTGATAACACACCATGATTAGCAATTAACAATTATTTTGCAAATGAATACTCATATATCACTACAAAAATATATGTCCCCAGCGACATATATTAGCGACGTGCTTATCACGTGAGTAGTAGCGACGTGATAACCACGTCGCTAATATATTTTAATGACATATAATGCAAATCAGAGAACGTTGGAAAGGGGGAAATTTGAATTTTGGTAGCGACGTGATAGCCACGTCGCTATATTTTAGGGGGGGAAAAATTTGGCTGATGACAGAGTTGCAGAGTGGGAGAGAGAATAATTTTTCTGTTTAGTTTGTAGCGACGTGATTATCACGTGGCAACGTTGCGACGTGACAGTCACGTCGCTACTAGACGTTACATGTCCAAAATTTTCATTTTTACAGAAGCGTTGCTTTCTTCTTTCTTCCTCTTCCTTTCTTCTTCCTCACAAACCCATACTTCTTCCTCTCAAATTGTTGAAGAAAATTTCCCGAATCAAATTTCCTCCATCCCAAATTGTTGAAGAAAAATAAGGTATTTATATTTTGATAAATGTTTATTTCGTTTGTTCATTATTTATTATACTGGAAAGAAATATTAAAAAGGGTATTTGTTCGTTTGTTCATTATTATTTGTAGAGAAATTTGAAGAAGAACACCAAGAACTATCCAAGAAGACGCAAATTTATTGAAGAAATTATATAGAGGTATTTATGCATTTTTTTTTAGATTTTATATGTATTATATAGATTAGTGGTATATGTATTTTGTGGTTAGGAAGTATATGTATTTTGTTAGTAGTATATATGTACTGATAATAAAAAATTTTAGAAAACATAAAATTAAAAGTTTTTTTTTTATAGATGTATATATATATATATATATATATATATATATATATATATATATATATATATATATATATATATATATATATATATATATATATATATATATATATATATATATATATGTTAACACATAAATTTAATAACATTAACATATTTTTTATAGATGTATATATATTTATTATAATAGTTTTATTTTTTTATTTATATGTTAAAGATATGGAAAAAAAATTATATATTAAAATAAGAATTTATAAAAAACATAATTAAAAAAAGAATATATATATTATATTATTATTTTAATATTATTGTTATATATATAATAAAAAGTATATATGTTACATTATTTGTTTTCTAATATTATTGTTGTATATATAATAAAAAGTAAATATGTTATATTATTGTTTTTTGATATTATTGTTATGTAATAAAAAATTATATATTTTACATTTGAATATTTATTTATATGTTAGTATATATATAAAAAAGCAAAATTTATATTTTTAAGAATAATATTAAATAGTTTAAGAATAATATTATTAAGTTGATTAATATTTCTAATGAAAAAGACAATGATTGTATAAATGTGCAGTATGGAATATTATCGGTATTATCGCAGTTGGATGTACGATAGAACATATCCAGGAAGAAGTGGACTTAAACCCAATTTTATAGTAGGAGTTGATGGGTTTATTAAGTGGGCGTTTACTCAGGATTATTGTCGAAGCGAAGGAGGGGTTAGGTGTCCCTGTCTTAAATGTGAATGTAGACCAATAATTAGTGACCCAGAGGAAGTAACACGTCATCTGCATAGAAGGGGATTCATTGAAAATTATTGGGTTTGGACGTATAATGGTGAAGAACTACCAGTTAATATACCAGAGACTAGCAACACGCATGCTTCAAGTAGTCGACCGGTTATGGAGTATGAGGAGAACTTTAATTTGATCGGTGACATGGTTGAGGATGCTTTTGGTGTGAACGTGACATATGATGAACCTGAAGATTTTGACGGGGAAGAGTTGCCGAATGAGGAAGCGCAAAGATTTTATCAATTATTGAACGAGATGAATACGCCGTTGTTTGAGGGGTCGTCAGACTCGAAGCTATCAATGTGTGTGAGATTATTGGCCGCCAAGTCAAATTGGAATGTTTCTGATCAATGTCTGGAACATTTTGCAAAAATGATGTTGGACTCCACCGCTACGAAAGACAATTTGCCTACAAGTTATTATGATGCAAAGAAGTGGGTGTCGAAGTTAGGTTTAAAAGTAAGAAAGATTGACTGTTGCATTAACGGTTGCATGTTGTTTTATGACAATGAGTTTGGTACTCAAGATGGATCGTTAGAGGAGTGTAAGTTTTGTAATAGTCCAAGATATCAAGTTCGCAGTAGAGCCGTTAACAGCAAGCAAAAGCGTGTAGCAGTAAAATCCATGTTTTATCTTCCTATAATACCAAGGTTAAAAAGAATGTTTGCTTCAATGCACAGTGCAAGTCAAATGACATGGCATCATACAAACCAAACAAGTTCTGGCATTATGCGACATCCATCTGATGGTGAGGCATGGAAGCACTTTGATCGGACACATCCAGATTTTGCTGCAGAACCTAGAAATGTCAGGCTTGGATTATGCTCTGATGGATTTGCCCCATACGTGCAAGCGTCAGGAAGTGCGTATTCTTGTTGGCCAGTTATTGTAACACCTTACAACCTCCCTCCTGAGATGTGCATGACAAAACCATACATGTTTTTGACGTGTGTTATTCTAGGCCCGCACAGTCCAAAAGCCGGAATTGATGTGTACTTACAACCTTTAATTGATGATTTGAAGAAGATGTGGATTGGAGAATGGACTTATGATATATCCCGTAAACAGAACTTCACATTACGAGCTGCCTTGATGTGGACCGTTAATGACTTTCCAGCATATGGCATGTTGTCTGGTTGGGGTACGCATGGAAAAATGGGTTGTCCGCATTGCATGGGATACACCAAAGCATTTACGTTGGATAAAGGTGGGAAAAGCTCATGGTTTGACTGTCACCGCAGATTCCTACCAGCAAATCATCCATATAGAAGAAACAAGACAAATTTTAAAAAAGATGTACGAGAGAAAGATTTTCCTCCGCCTCGATTGCCACCAGGGGTTATATGGAACCAAGTATGTGAACTACCAAAATTTACAGATACTGGGAAAGCATGCCGAATTGAAGGATACGGCGTCACCCACAATTGGACAAAAAGAAGTATATTTTGGGATCTTCCGTATTGGAAAGATAATTTGTTGCGCCATAATCTTGATGTTATGCATATTGAGAAGAATTTTTTTGATAATGTATTTAACACAGTGATGGATGTGACAGGAAAAACAAAAAATAATGAGAAGGCCAGACAAGACATGGGAATTTGGTGTAATCGAAGAGAGTTGGAGTTGAAGCCTCAACCGAATGGAAAATTATTAAAACCCAAGGCTTGTTTCAGTCTGACTTCCCAAGAAGCTAAAGCAGTTTGTCGATGGTTAAAAGAATTGAGAATGCCCGATGGGTATTCATCAAATTTAGCAAGGTGTGCTGACTCTAACACTGGAAAATTACATGGTATGAAAAGTCATGATTGTCACATTTTTATGGAACAGTTGCTACCAATTGCATTTGGATCGCTACCCAAACATGTTCTTGACCCACTAACTGAAATTAGTCAATTTTTTAGAGATATTTGTGCGTCAGCTTTAAAAGTGGAAGACATCATTAAGTTGGACCAAAACATTGCACTCATTCTTTGTAAGTTGGAACAAGTATTTCCGCCTGGTTTCTTTGACTCCATTGAACATTTACCTGTGCATCTTGCATATGAAGCTTATCTTGGTGGACCTGTTCAATATAGGTGGATGTATCCGTTTGAAAGGTTCATGGGTGATTCAAAGAGATCGGTAAAAAATAAAGCTAGAGTAGAAGGATCTATATGTGCACATTACTTGCATCGGGAAACATCACATTTTTGCAGTCACTATTTCAATCACTTGATGTTACCGGGGTACAGTCAACATCAGGTGTCATTCATGCTCAATTTCCCTCATGGTTCAAGAAAACATTGTCTAGCGTTCTTGCACTAACTCCAGAAATACTCCATTTGAGAAACTTGGCAGAAGGCCCTATCCAAAGCGCAAATGATTGGCACACATACTTCGTGAACGGATATAAATTTCACACTGAGGCATGGACCGAAGGGAAAAAAACCATAAATAGTGGTGTTTTTGTAAAAGGAGTTACAGATGGCGGTGAAGACGACTTCTATGGATTTGTTAAACATATCTACGAGTTGGTATACAATTACTTGGACACGGAAAATAAAGTTGTCTTGTTTTATTGTGAATGGTATGATCCAACTAGAGGCACAAAGATAGACAAGTCATATGGTTCTGTCGAGATTCAAATGAACCAGAGATACAAAGAATATGACCCTTTCATAATGTCACATATTGTTAGGCAAGTTTATTATGTTCCTTATCCTTCATTTGTAATACGTAAAAGAGGATGGTGTGTTGTAATAAAAACAAAATCGCTAGGTCATATTGAAACTGGAGATCTAGTGGAAGATG